TCCTGGCAAGAATACTTTTGAACAGATTAATACCTGCTATAGCAGAAGGAATTCTGCCTGAAAGCCAATGTGGTTTCAGAGCCAACAGGAGTACCACAGACATGGTATTTGTTCTCAGACAACTGCAAGGCAAGTGTAGGGAACAGAATAAAGGTCTCTATGTAACCTTTGTTGATCTCACCAAAGCTTTCGATACTGTGAGCAGAAAAGGTCTCTGGCAGATTTTGGAACGTTTAGGATGTCCCCCACAAGTTCCTTAAAATGATCATCTCACTTCATGAGGATCAGCACGGCCAAGTCAGATATGGTGATGCACTTTCTGAGCCCTTTCTAACTACCAGTGGTGTGAAACAAAGCTGCATTCTTGCACCAACTCTATTCACAATCATTTTCAGCATGATGCTCCAAAGGGCCACTGCAGACCTCAATGATTAAGATGGTATCTACATTCAGTACTGTACTGATGGAAGCCTATTCAACCTAAGGCGACTGATGGCCCATACTAAGACCTTAAATCTTCTTGTCTGGGAGCTGCTTTATGCTGATGACGCCGCCTTTGTGGCCCACACAGAAGCAGCTCTGCAGCATTTAACATCCTGATTTGCAGACGCTGCTGAGCTCTTTGGGCTGGAAGTCAACTTAAAGAATCTATCAACCAGTACCTCAGGAAGTCTTCCATCATCCCCATATCACCATTGGCCAATCAGAGCTTAAATCAGTCCAGCAGTTTAATTGCCTAGGTAGCCTCATCTCCTCAGATGGTAAGATTGACGGAGAGATAGACAACAGGTTAGCAAAGACATATAGTGCTTTCGGAAAACTCCATAAAAGAGTATGGCATAATAAACACTTGAAGAAAAGTACAAAGATCAGCGTTTACAAAGCCATTGTGCTGTCTACTCTTTTATATGGTTCCGAATCATGGGTCATCTACCGCCACCACCTGCGTCTTCTAGAACGCTTCCATCAATGCTGTCTCCGTACAATCCTTAACATCCACTGGTCAGATTATGTGACCAGTACATCTGTTGTAGAACAAGCAGCAGTCACAAGTATTGAGGCCATGTTGCTGAGAACACAGCTGCGTTGGGCAGGACACGCCTCAAGGATGAAGGACCACCACCTCCCTAAGATCTTGCTCTATGGTGAACTTGCCACTGGCTGCTGCAAGAGAGGTGCCTTGAAGAAAAGATACAAGGACTCCCTGAAAAAACATTTCAGCCTCGGCCATATTGATCAACATAACTGGTCTACTCTGGCCTCAAATCGGGAGGCCTGGAGACACACTATCTGTAATGCTACTGATGCCTTTGAGATAGCACGCAGGATCACTCTTGGGAGAAAAGACAACGCAGAAAGAACTGTGTCTTGCAGAATATACCAGCTAAGGAGTCTTTCTGTTGTGCCTTTTGCAATTGTACATGTCTATTTCGTATTGGCCTTACTAGCCACCAGCATGCTTGTAACAAATGTGGATAGAGCCTTTCCCAAATCTTTGTTCGTGAAGTCTAGCCATGATGATGATGATTTTTAGTTTATTTCCATTCTGAAATGTAAAGAATGTTTTTCTTCAGTTCTTCAGAAAAATAAAATCCCCCAGTATCGTATCAGGCAGAATATATTATTTGAAACTTCAAAATATTCCTTCTTGATTAACATACATTACTATTTATAGTATGCAATAAATATGGATATATTATACTGTTGTCCTAAGATGTTTTTTAAGAACTCCTGAGTGGTCGTTTAGTTCATATTATTTTCTCAAGGCTCCTTTGACAAGCACTTCAAAGGACAGTGAAATGTCATGTAAGCATGAGGTCACAGAAGGTATCTCAATTCCTTCTTATTTCATTAATTTAAATTTTATTATCTCACGAGATTTATATTATTTTTAGCATTATTCTTTGATTTTACTGAAACGTTAGGCTGTGACGTTTTTACATATTTGCCAAATATATTACCAAATACATTTCTAACTGAAAGAATAAATAGCATACTGTAACTTAGATGTCACAAATTCAAGTTTTAGGGGAGATTTTGTAGCCTAGTCTGTCCTTTTACGCATCAGCGTAGCTCCGTAATAACTTCTTGGTTTAGTATTTACAGCTAGAAAAACATCTCTAGGCTCAAGCAAAATGCTTGCCTCTAATTGATCTTTGCAAAATGCAGGAAGACAGTGCAGTCTGAAGACTGGAGTGTCAGACTAGTACTCCTGGTAACTATTCACAACTTTGTTATGGATCTGCGGTGTGATGTTGAACAAGCTCCTTTCTTGTGTTCCTACTGCCTTTACACAAAAAAAAGTATGAAGTAACAGCTACCCCCTTTGAGAAGCTGTAGTGGTTTGAACCAGGTTTTCCCCCTGAAGATAAGAAAGTGGTAATCCCCAGGGGGTGGTGACCCTTGAGATTTGAACCAATCTGCGCTTCTGCAAAATATAAACCTATCTCTAGACCGGAAAAGAAGAAGTTGTACTTGTTGTTGAAGAAGAAGTGGCCATGTTGTAGAGCCACGAGGAGCCGGGGCGGGAGCCCCTGGGGGCTCTGCCCCCCGCCCCAGCCCCCAGCTGGGGTCATAGAAACTCAGAAACAGTGTCACACTGGACTGAGGTCTGTGACTTGAGAAGCTGAAGGAGTTTTCTCCACCGTGAGTGGGCAGACGGAGCAGCAGCAGAGACACCAGCGTCCGAAGAGCAGTGGCAAAGAGCCAAGTAGATAAGAGTAAGCAGCAGAGCTGCCGAGCAGGAAGACACAGAGATCTCTGATGGAGAGAGACAGAGAGAGGGTTTGGGTAAGAACTGAACAACCAGAACTCCCCAAACTCCTTTGAGACCCCTCCGACAGAGAGGAGGAGGTGGTGGACTCCCACCTGAGAGGAGTCCTAAAGTGCAGTATGCACTGCAGAGAGGAGCTTAAGAAGCTCAGACTGCCCTGGGAGCTGAGCCAGGACGGCCAAAGGAATGTGTGGAGGGGGTGACCTTGGGCCACCCCCCCTTGCTGCAGCTTCAGAGGAGCTAGCAGCCATCTTGGGGCAGGGTACAGAAGCTCTGTAAAGGGGCTTGGATCCCCTGAAGATACCAGACCGTCACGAAGGCTTCTGCACTTCGTTGATATGACCATGGTGGAGCAACCTTTATCTGGGGTAACGCAGCCCACGGAAAGACCGAGAGAGACTTGGAGACTCCCTCGTCTGTACTGGCAAAAGTCCAACGACTGCTGCTTCATGAAAGACACAGAGAGACTGCTGCTCCAGAGTGAACTGCTGCTCAGAGACTGGAAGGGGTCTTTTCTTCTTCTTCCCTCCTGGGCTTTTATTTGGAAGGGAGAAGAGATTTGGCCCATTGTAAATATATTATGTCATGGTAGAGATAGAGTTAAGATTGTATGTAGTGTATTATAGTATTTATTTATGTGTACACTCACTGTAATATATACCCTTCCCCCCATATTGAGTCTTGTGTTTTTGTCTGGAAAACCCATCTCACACTGGGTTGAGATGTGGGAGAGGGGCTAAGAATCAGGAATTGGATTTTTGGGCTCTAAAACCATGACAGAAGCATTTTGAAATCACTGGCTATTGAATAGAGCAGTAGATCTGGGGATTGATTCTTTACCAAGACTTTATGGACCTTCATAAAAGTTGGCTAAACATCTGGTCAAGCATTATTACCCCTGCAGTTGTGAGATCTGCCCTCCCAAGCACAGATCTTCTGAGTGATATGGGAAGAGCTGTATGAGCTCTGAAGGAAGAACACAGAGTGGGCACGGGAAGTTCCAGGTAAACTGCTGGAATTAATACTGGAACAGAAATAAAAGTAATTGAAAAGACTTATCAGAATTTAATTTGAATGTTTCTTAAATAGGTTAGAATGACTGCTTATAAAATTGTACTAATCTCAATGTTTGGTAAACTATGTATGCCATTACATTTTCATGTTTGATACTGACATTTCTGACAATGTTTAGGGACCTTAAAAAAAAAGATGTAGAAAGGTCACAGTTATGAAATGTAATTCCTCTTTTGAAAAGGTGTGAGAATTCTACAACTCCACTATACTTCTAGTACCTCCTCTATATGAACTCCTAGGGTCTTATTAGAGATACAGGAGAGAAACAATTTGCAGATCGTCAGATATTATCCCTTCTATTTGTATGATAAAGCTCCAAATAAAATCTTTTATGCAATAAACAAGTGTTATTTGAAAACTGGTCAAGCTTCTTCTAAAACCCTCTGAAGATTAATACTCATAAGTTTATTTATATGCTAAATTAATTTATTTCAAGTGTATATTTTTATAGCTGTATTGGTTTTGAGTGTTGAGCTCTTCTGTATCTTCAGCCATTTTTCCCAGTTGGTAGACAACAATTACATTTCTGCTCATTTTTCTATTGCCGCATCATATGAGTTTTCAGTCCTCTTTGAGAGAATATGCTAAAATGGTCTTCCTGAAATTAATTTTGCACACTTTGTGAATGTCGTCTTTCTGCTTTTTTAAGCATTTACTACCTGTCACGTAAAGAGTAGCTCAGATGAGCTCTCATCACCCCTTTTTCAAAAGTATTGATGATTTCATTCACCAAGAAATATTTACCTGGTAAATCTTCACACTACATTTCCCTTTTTCATGGTAGCTTTACAGTGACAGTACAACATCACCTGTTCTCTGTGATATCCTATTGATGTATCGACAGTTAAATCTTTTCATTTTCCAGGTTTTTGGGCTTTAGGGGTAGATTGGTTTGTTTGTTTTTGCTATTTGTTTACAGATACTTAACCTTGCACATTATATTCTTATCTCAGTTCCCTTATCCCTCGAGAAGCATATGTTTCTGTCTTGGGATTTAAGCATTACAAACACTAAATTAGAAGAATCAAACTTTTTTACCCTTTGAGTGCATTCCCTTTCTAACCTGTACATCAAAACACCCTTTTAATGCATATAAAAACATTCAGTAACAAAGCAGAAGAAATTTATTCTCCCATGACAGAAATTACTGTGAAAACTGGGTCACTGAACTATTATTCCATATTTATATCCATTGAGAAGATCTTAATAGAAAAATGTCAGGAAGAAGTTTGAGAAGAAAACAGGGGGTGGGGTAGGGGGTGGGGTGGTGAAAAGTCATGTTATTTCATTCCTAAGTGATGTTATTTCTGTATTAAAAGATGCCACAAATGAGCTACTGTAGACTACTTAATGGTATTCCTGCCATATTCCATTGAAACTTAATAGGGCAAGTTGCTAAATCAATGAACCTTCAATGGTTTCCTGGAACACCATATTAAATGAAACATATAGAGCTGGCACAACTAACCTTGTGTGGGTATCCAGACACTCCATGGCTCTCATTTGGCAACAACAGTGAATAGTTGTTATGCTTACAGATTCAGAAATCTTTTTATTAAATCAGGTCATCATTAGTGTAACATGTGTGGGGAAGGTCCCGAGGAGAAAAAACTAGCTGAATTTCAGTGATTCTGGTCCTTCAAGTTGAGCTTTTAAATGGATTTGCAGCCCTGAACTTTTTGTCATGACCTTTTTCCCAACTGCTATGGAATCTACAACTTTAGGCTTTGCATCAGAAAATGTCTGCATTTTATGCCATCACAGAGCACAGCTACAGTCACATCTGACAATATCCGCTGAAAAATCTGAATTAGAATGCATGGAGTTCATATGAAAACCTGACAACTTGCTTAAACAGTGGTGGGGATTGACAGATTTTGCAAAAACCCCTTTCCCATTCACACTGAGAGGTAAGCTATCAAATTGTTAAAGAAATTGCCAAAGCAGGTAAGTGCCGAGCAACCCTATAGTGGATTTACAGAGGTCCTACATAGGCTGGAGTGGCTATATATGAACAGATCAATTGTAACACCAGGGACCTTGTCCTCACAACTCCTGGACATACCAGTGTCAGCATGTCTACATATATATTCACTATCGTAAGCCCTAAAATGCACTTTAGAGTTGTTGTTTCTTTTACAGTTTCATTTTCTGGGAACACAGTAAGACAAATGTTGGAGGTATAGAAAATCTCAGTCTAATAAATTTATAGAAAAATAAAGAAAGGATTAGCTTTATAGCAACACAACTAGAAACACTTTAATCAGGAATAGTTTCAACACAAAGCAACAGGAAGTATGGAAATAGTTCATATTCTTTTTGACCATGAACATTCTATCCTTGTCACATCAGCTGGTTAGAGTATTTGGGCTTTTGACCCAATAGGAATGGCATATGGGTCACAAGCTTCCAATTTTTCACTGCTTGAAATATCTTCATTCCAGTAAAGAGAGTTTCCTCAAGTCTATCATGAATAGAAACATGGACAGATTAGCCTCTCATATGCATAACCACGCTTTGATAGAAATAGGATGAAGTGTGTGAATCTGAAGTGCTCTGAACAGACTTAAATCTGCATCTAGAACATCTAATGTGGTTAGCGACTTCCTTAGTGAAAAAAACAAATAACTAAACAAAATAAGAATAAAATTGTGAAAGAAAACAAATCCAGAATAGCAAATTATAGAAATAGGAATAAATTGGAGCTACAACTTCAGACATGATTAAAATTTTTTAAAAAATCTTTCTCATCTGTCAAAAGGGAACGGAAACTTGCATGCACTGAGAACACTATCTCTTTGTGGCATCTTTTGTCACTTTTCTACACTTTTAGGAATGATGGCATAATATACTACCATTAAGTGTTTTAGGAAAGGAGGCCGCTGCAAATAGATGCATTAAATTCACCTGCCAAAGCGATGGTTTCATATATTAAAATGTCAAGACCTTGCACTACAGCCAAATGAATTCACAGTAGATTAGTGACACCTAAATTGCCAGTTGCAAGCAATTGTGACATATTTTCCCATGATTTTTTTTTCCTCCTACAATAATGAACATGCACATGATTTGTAAAAATTATAAAACATCTTAGTAGTCTATCTTGAAATTTTTCCTGAAATCATGTTCTCTATAGAGTGATTTAGTGTGAGTTCAGGATTAGATTAGGTCAGAAAGGGTATTACCACTGGGGTAGATAAAATATGCAAGAGCAAGCCCTCTGTTTGCACTACTTCCTTATACCAGACAGACTCTGACAGAATCATTACTCCTTTCAATATTTTCTAGTCAGCTTCTGAGCTCTCCAGCAGAGGTAACCTTTTAAAAAAAGCCAGTGGAGTAATGCAACAGATGGTGCTTATCTCTGTCAGAAAGGTTCTCTAGGCAGTGTTTCAGCACTGTCTTTTGCCTCTCTATAAAGAGTAAGGCCTGGAAAGAAGAGTTGGCAGCACACCTGAACATGATGAGACTGAGAGGGGTCTGGAGAAGTCAGGTGCAACAGAAAATGTGACTACATCCTCACAGAGAAAGTTATTAGCTAGCAAGGCTGTGAAAGAGATTTAAATTATCAGAAAATAGAACAAAATATGGCTGTCACAGTTAAGACAGAGTTGCCATATGTGAATTGTAGGTTTGTTATATGTTTGACTAATTAATGAAATGGCCTTTAGGATTCTCTAGTAGACTTCTTCAGTAAAAAAAAAACCCAACCAACCAACCAACCAAACAAACAAAACAAAAAACAACTCATAGTGAAGGACATCCTGAGCAAGACTTGCTGAAAAATTATGCAAGTAATTTGCTTTGGGATTTTCACAACTAGTCTCCTCCCACCTGAACATCTTTTTATCCAGCATGTGGAAATGATATGTCAAAGGTCTAACAAATATTTGAAATGTCATCTGGGAAAGAGGAACACCGAAATGGAATATATATCTAGTTAAAAATTCTTTCTGAAATAAAACTTTTTTTTTTGTTATATTTTTTTTTCATTATTATGCCATCCACGTTCTAGAGCTGTCAGGGCCCTGCAGATATTGAGTTCCATGTGAACAATAAAGATAAAGAGAGGTCTGGGAATCTAGGTATGCCAAGTATTGTTAATTGTTTTTATCTTCAAATAAAAAGTATTCAGGAAAAAAGCAGGGATGTGAGGTAAATTTTGTGTCTGTGTATGTTTGTGTGTGTATGTAAACTTATTGGATTACTATTATTAGCAACTGGTTACTGCTTCTACAAATCTAGAGCTGCAGTTCTTATTCACCTAACCCAAACATACAGTAACTACAGCAAGAAGAAAAATAGAAAATGGATAATCCAAATGAATTTTAAGGTGAGTTTGCAGCATAAAAACTAGACTGAAACCTAAGAAGCAAGGTGCTCTTAAGGAAGTCAAAAGATATCACATGTACTTTCAACAAACTGCTTTTTACTTACCAGCCAGTCTCAGGGGATGATAGAGGTGAAAGGGTTTCAGAAAGGAGAAACATAAATAAGTGTATAGTCACAGAAGAAGAAGAAACAAAACATATGGTGAAGCAATGAAAATAAATCCATGCTGTAAAATAACACCCAAAGAAAGCAGACAGCTAGGAAAAAAGAATAATACCAATATGATTTTCAAGAGGAAAAAAAAAGCTCTCTAAAAGGAAAGATGTTTGTATGCTGTTTAAACAAAAAAAATCAACTTCGAGCCTGCCTGTTTTTTTCAGTAGGGTATGGTGGTTAGGGTATGCTAATTTCTCTACCAAATGCTACCCAAACTAGTGATGCAACAAAGGTTAAGTCTTTGAGTTACAAAGTGATCTGACTAGGAACCCATTTAAATCTGGGAGCTGGAAACAGAGTCTCAGTAAGACAAATAGATATTATGAAAAAGATTTTTTAAAGAATGGTTGTGAAATATTATTATCTTTATAAATATTAAAAAAGGGGCAGGAATACTTTAAAATATTATGTCATTTCAAATAGAACATTTGATCATTTAGTCTCTATATGATTTGTAAATAATACTGTTTTACATAATTTGACAAAGAATATCCGTGTTGAAAATTTCTGTATTTGATGTTCAATGCATATTATTAAGAGGGGGGGGAAAACATATAATTGGAAAAGAAAAACAGAGGAAAATGCAAGAATTTTACTGAAGTCCAAATATAGAGTTAACTTTCAGAATGCAGATGTCTGAAGTTCTAATAAAATAGATTTAATTACAATTTTCAGTGTTTATATCTATATGTCTAGACTATTATTCTATTAAATTGGATTAGTAGGAAAAATTTTTTGATTGTTCAGCCCATGAAATTCACCTTTGCCTCTGAAATTTGCTATTTGTTGAGTGAAAGGGTGTTCATCTTTTTTTCCTGTGATAATTTCTAACTCACACATCGTGATTTGGTTTACCCTTGCCTTAATTCTAGGAACAAGTGGTTGGCTAATACAGTGACATATACAACAGCCTAAAGAAATCAGCCAGTCTAAGGGGGGGAAAAAACAGATCATTATGATCTGGACCTCCAGCTGAGATCATTGTAAACATGTATTTCACTTCTTTTCTTGTACAATTCTAAGGTATCCCATTAATTCCCTATAAATGGGCCAGTCTTCTACAGTCTTCATTGTAAAGTATATTTTCTGACTTGGAAAGATCAGCATGGTATTTGGCATTTTTAGAATCTCAGAAACTTCATCATGCACAGATACTCAAATGTTAGTCTCTGAAAGCACTTCCTGAAAACCCACTGAATGAAGTGCAGCAAGGCTTAGAGAGAAAAGGTTTAGAAGAGTTCCTGAGAAGAACATTGTGTAAAAAAGACATCATTAACAGAGCAAAACTAGCCTACAAGTTTTCACATTATTTTCCAATTTTGTGGACACAGTAACTGAAATGCAGCAACAAATAATATATATTTTCTTATACATAAAATAATAAAATATCATTCTTAATTTTATTTTACAACCATGGAGTGTACACAATCTGAAAGTTCAGAGAATTTAAGTTGTTTTTCCTAGTTATGACTGCTGTAAGACATAAAAGACTTTAAAGTCTTTGAAACTTTGTTTCCTGACAGTTTAGAATGTTTGAGAAGTAATCAAGAGAACATTAAGTTGTTGTTTTACCACATGTAAGTACCTGCACTGAAAAAATATTGTATTTTATGATA